TGCTTCCCTTCTTGGGCTATGCATTATGGCATTCCCAGACTTCAGAGCTTCAGAGCTAGCCTTTAATGCCCTCCATAATGGTACCTAGTGATACTACCCCTACCTTCAATATTTTTGGTATTTCCTGGAGATTTTAAAACAGAGTGTCGTGTTTGTGTTCTTGAATGTGCTGTACAGTGCCCCAGATGCCATGCCAGAGAGGCCATTTTAGAAATAATGTTACTATGGTAGACCGTGAAGTTGGCCCAGTGTGGGATGGTGGTACTGAAGAGCTAAATATTAAAAATTGAGCTGTTAGAGAGAAACAAATAAGCAACCCAATCCTCACAGAAATGCAAGGAGAGCATTTCTTTTGAAGGCTGGGCAGCTTGGGATAGGTATCCTCTTATTTCTAAGACCCTGATTCAAAATTGACTTTGATTAGTAGTGAATGAAAGTTGTTACCATATGATAGCTGTTTGGTTGCCTGTGTGAAATGATTTGGTGACCTCTGGCCATATCACAAATCACCATCGCAACTGAAACTATTTGCTGGTGATCCTGAGAGGGTTGCTCAAAGTTGAGGTACTTTAGCAGGGCATGTGGGGGCAACTTTGCATTACTACTCTGTATGCTCTAAGCAGTGTTTCTCAGCCTTTTGAAATTGGCAATCCCTTATTCAAAGTAAAAAATTCTCTACCCTCTTACATTTACTAAAAAAGTAAATGTGAAAAGAATAAAAAAATCCAGTAACAGCAATAAGCCTATGTGATGTATTTGTGTGTGTTTATAGAAGCTGTTGAAGAATACTTGATCTTTTTTGAGTGTGTGAGGAATAAGGTAGTGAGACTTTCTTTGCTTTAGATAGTAATAAAATTTTTGATGCCTCATGACCCTTGATTGCCTTGTGTGATTCACCCTTCGTTGCAACACAGTAGTCGTGAAACACTGCTCTAAGAGTTTCTGTGATTCAAGAGGACTTAGGTCATCTGTGCTCTTAATTCAATGTTTTCATCAGCATTATAATGAACGCAGGTTGTTGTTTTTTAATTAACAGATTTGCACCACAGTTTATTAAGGAATTTAAAACTGAGAAAAAAAGAAAAACTGCTTTGATAATACTGGCTATTATCAAATAATGGCTGATAATTACACTGGTCTACAATTTTTGAGAAGTCGTCTGCTTCAGAGATAAAATGTGCTATTTATTATGTATTTTGATGTGCTGAATTCAAATATGACAATTAAAACAACTGATTGGCTACTGTTTCTAAAATATTTAAGTTTTTACATTAGACATAACTATGTATATTGTGTAGATAGTAGAGTTTTAATCTTAAATTGTAAACCTAGGTCTTTTCATGTGTTTATGGTTGCTTTACATGATAATATTTCACCTGTCCTGTTTATGTAACACTTTAAAAATCAGCACAAAGGTTATATAAATAAAATTTATTATGAAACAAAAGGCAAAAAACTATTCTGTACATAGTTTAGTCCTATTCAGTGTCTACTTGGCGCTTCTTGGCTTGTCTCTTGTATTCATTAAATGGAGCATCTCTTGTCACTGTCCAGCAATAGTCTGCAAGCATTGATGGGCTCCATTTGCCCTGATAGCATTTCTCCATTGTTGCAATGTCCTGGTGAAATCACTCACAGTGCTCGTCGCTCACTGTTCTGCAGTTCGGTGGAAAAAAATCTAGATGAGAGTGCAAAAAATGTATCTTCAGTGACATGTTGCAACCAAGGCTTTTGTATGCCTTGAGGAGGTTTTCCACCAACAACCTGTAGTTGTCTGCCTTGTTGCTTCCGAGAAAATTTATTGCCACTAACTGGAAGGCTTTCCATGCCGTCTTTTCCTTGCCACGCAGTGCACGGTCAAATGCATCATCTCGAAGAAGTTCACGAATCTGAGGACCAACAAAGACACCTTCCTTTATCTTAGCTTCACTTAACCTTGGAAATTTTCCACGGAGGTACTTGAAAGCTGCTTGTGTTTAGCCAAGGGCCTGGGCAAACCTGTTCTTGGGATCCGTCGGTCGGCCCAAGGCCGGCAGCAAAGCGT